TGGCTATTTTGCCATTTAATTTGTTAGTGAAAATAATCGATAGAATCAGACACATGGAGCAATTCTTCGAACACCAATGTTTCGAGCTTCGTTAATAAATTGATTGCTTTTCGATGTTTAATATTTATGAGAACTCTTTTTGTCAATGATATTATTTCATATTCTCGTGGCTATTTCGTCGTATCATTTCATAACGAAAATAATTAATAACATCAAACATCCAAAGTGATTTTTAAAGCACAAATTTATCGAAGAATCGTTACATCGAAAATATTTTATTGATAAATTTATTGCTTCTAGTTGTTTAATGATTATAAGAATTTATTTTCCTAGTCAAACTTTCTAGTTTTCTCTTGTTTATTTTACTATCTATTGTTTAAACAAAATTAACTAACACAACTTGAGATAAAGAAAATCTTTTGAAGCATAAATATTAGATAATCCACTTTCAGTCTTTGAAAATCATGTTTTTCCATATTTTAATAAAATTTTTACAATTAAATCAAAAACTATTTTCAAGATTTATTTTTCATATTTATCGTCGATCCGAAATTATCGCAACGGAAGTGTTGTAGAGTACAGAGGATAGGGTATGTATGTATAGAATTTTTCACGCTTGTGCAAATCACTTTTACAATTAACACACACAATGTAATTGTTATTTTTCAAAGTTGCTAGTAATTGAAATTGTTGTTGGTCTCTTGGTAAATTTTATTTCAAATGAGCGAGGCAAGCGAACAATTTTGTCGGGTTTCACATGTAGCAATGTAAATATATTAAAGATGCAATCGTTGATTTGTCAATTAATAAATTGAAATTTGAATGGCTATAGACGATTGTAACCCCTATGCTGAAGAAAAAATGAAGCTCGGTTTCGTACAGCGCCAATTGGAGTAGTGGCAAAACGCTGAAACTGTTTGAAAAACAGCCGAAATTAACTGTCGGTATTTTGGCTAACAGTTTGAAAAACAGCCGAAATTAACTGTCGGTATTTCGGCTAACAGTTTGAGTATTTCGTCGTTGCACCAATTGGCGCTGTATGTACATCGAACCGAGCTTCATTTTTTATCCAAAAGAGGCGCTTCCATCGCCCGTATGCGCGCGGCGAAGTTTAAACCTAATTCAATCTATAAATTGTTTCAGATATTGCAATGGAAATACACCATCATCGTGTTCCCGTTTATCTCCCATGGACATCACTGCTCTAAATAAGAGATAGTCACAAGAAGAATACGCGCATATGTGTATACATATTATCACGTTCGCAGAATCGCAGTTTAGTCATTGTCCATTTTACGTACATTGTGGTGTTCGTATACATCTCGGTACGCCATAATGCGCATAATAATATGTACCATAAAGTATTGCCTCATGTCATAGATGAGAATCACGCTCCCACAGAAAGTTAAAGCGGAAGTGCAATTGTAGTAACTAGCGTTATCATTTGAAGCTTTATCCTTTTTCATAATTTAATAAACGTCACTATTTATGTAAATGCATATCTTGATGCATAGTATGACTAATCCTACTCTAACAGTAGGACCATGTACATTTAATATGATTGTTATTTGTATTACTCTTTTATGTTCCACACTTATGTGTATTTGAACGATCCACTTAAGAAAATCCTATCATCAAATCCAGATTTATTTCAGTATATCCATGAATTGCTTTAACATTCTGAAATAAAATTAATTCTACACAGAATTTGAAGAAAAGTTTCTTTATTATATTTATTTTAATGATACATACATAATGATAATTCCATAGATGTATCAATTAGTCAGACTCGATGTAAATGGCTTGTATCTATGTTCATGTACATAGGTCTAATGTAAAGAGAGGTTATAATATCATTGTGTAGTGTAGAGACGCGGAGAAGCTTAGCTTCAATTTTTTATCTTTCCATGTTTATGTGATATATTAAATGTACATAATTTCTGATACGTAGGAACTTTTCTATTCATTGAACCAGTTTTATTAAAAATAAACACAAGTAAGTAGCCAATATCACAAAATATTATGGTACAGTTCATCGCAACTTAACCTAATCGTAGTAACTGTTCATAAATACGTTGTAATTCCCATATTACCTACGTTAATATTATCTCTATATTTGAATGAATTTTATTTATATAAGTAAAAAATAAATTTTATGTATTTTTAAGTAAAAATCTTTTTGATGTCCTTGTTTTGAGAAAATGTATGTAAGTTCATAACTATATAATGTTTCAGCAACGATGGAATCTGATTATGATGAAAATCATGGTGGTTGGACAGACGAAATGGCGAGAACGAATGAAGATTGTGGGGGTGAAGATAGCTTCGATAATCCCCAAGAGATTTTAAATGAATGTTTAGATAAATTTAAAACTCCTGATTATATCATGGAACCTGGTATATTTATGCAACTCAAGAGGTATATTGTATTTTATGAGACATTGTATTTCTTATAGTGCATTATTTTTGTATATTATTTTATATATTTTGTATATTTTTGTAGATACTTTCAAGCCGGTGGTAATCCGGAACAAGTAATAGAATTGCTGTCAAAAAATTACACTGCCTGTGCTCAAATGGCAAATCTCCTAGCAGAATGGCTAATTCTTGCTGGAGTAAAAGTTTCAGACGTTCAAGCAATGGTAGAAAATAATTTGAAGGATATGATATTGAAAACTTTTGATCCTAAAAAGGCAGATAAAATTTTCACAGAGGAGGGTGAAGTATGTTTCAATTAATTTTTAACGCTTAACTGTAAATCAATGTTATTTTTAAATCTAAAAAAGGTTTAAAAATGAATGTCTTTTCTGTTAGACTCCTGCCTGGTTAACTGAAATGATTCAGCATCCCACCTGGAGATCCCTTATTTATAGGCTTGCCGAAGAATATCCTGATTGCTTGATGTTGAATTTTACTATAAAGGTAAAGACCTTCTATAAAATAATTTCAATTAAGACCACATTTTATTATTACCCTTTATCATTGAATCTTTTGTTTTCTAGCTTATATCTGATGCAGGATTCCAAGGTGAAATTACAAGCATTTCGACAGCAGCACAACAAATAGAAGTATTTTCACGAGTTCTAAAAACTGCGATCGCTGGTTTTCTACAAAATACAGAAGATTGGCAATCCAGCATACAAGAATGCGCGGTGAGTAACACAATTGAACAAAGTTATCATTTAGCGATTCCATAAAAATGTCTACATACGATTTTTCTGTTAGTAGAAAATGGTATGTCATGGACAACATACTTACGTCTATAGCCAAGTATTGTTACAAATTCTGGCGCAAGAATCACGTGGTGGATTCATGATGAAAAGACTTTCTCAAGAGATCACCAAATGTGCTCAACAAAAGTAAGAAGAGATGATTTGACATAGTAAACCGTAAAGGGTTAATTATCATACATTTCTCTTGATTAATTACAGCCACCATGATGTTACTCCAATAACAATGGCGTTAAACGGAGCTTCGAGTAGCCCTAGTGCATGTCAAGCATTGGCATCTATGTTATCGCGGAATACTTTAAATCCTGCAGACATTAGTGTATTATTTCGAAATTATTCCACTGCGGAACCACCTCCCATAGAATTACTTAGAAATCCACAATTTCTAGGTAAGAATGTACTTTTTCGATTCTACTTGTGTTATTTAAAAAATGAAGCGCGTCTTGAAAGATATTTTTCTATTTATTACAGAATTGTTGGTCGACGCCCTTTTCAAACCCGGAGTCAAAATCAATCCCGAACATAAGCCAAAGTATATTTATTTATTGGCTTATGCAGCTAGCGTGTGCGATATACCAGCTAAAAAAGGCCATGCACGCAAATTAAACAAAGACGATTTAAAAACAACTATACAGGCTATTGAGAAAGTGCACAATATTTGTAACATTAATAAGGGATCCACTGAATTGGTGGCCGAATTGCATACTTTATACCAATGCATAAGGTGTGATTAATTAAGGGTTCTTGATGTAATTAATATAAGTATGGACGTAAATTCTTTAACCTTATATTTTTATCTAGATTTCCTGTTGTAAGTGTAGGTGTAATTAGGTGGGTAGAATGCACTGTAACAGAACCATCGTACTTCAAATTATGCACAGAACACTGTCCTGTACACCTTGCGTTGCTAGATGAGGTTGTCGTCTGTCATCCGCTATTGCATCCGAAAGTGCTGCAACTTCTTGTACAGTTGTTTGAAAGTAAGCAGGATGAATTAGAGATCCTTGTACAGGTATGAATATTCGAAAAAGCATTCTTTGTCAATTAAGTAATAATTACTGAGATATTTATATTTTAATATTATACAGTTGGAAATGAAGAAAATGTTAATTGACAGAATGGTCAATCTATTAAGTAAAGGTTGTGTGGTGCCTGTGGTATGTTATATCAAACAATGTTGGCAACGAGGAGATACAGATGTTTCCTTAATTAGATATTTCGTTACAGAGGTATGAATCTCTTTATAATAAATGCATATATGTATATTGCAAGTCGCATTAATAATATTTTATTTGTAGGTTTTAGAAGCAATTGCTCCACCGTACACAGCTGAATTCGTTCACTTATTTTTACCGATGGTGGAGGACGAAGAAATTACAGGAACAATGCGTGGCGATAGCGATAATGATCTTGTTTCAGAATTTATTGGTAAGTATCGTTCGATTAAAAATTACAAATTACAAAAATTACTTTAAATCTAATAATGTTCTTTTCAGTACACTGTAAAGCACATTGCCCTACCATAAGGTGATGCATCTTAATAGATAAAGGTAGGACTAATTGGAAAAAAGAACTTGCAACTTCAAGAGAAATATTTTTACTTCAGATGAACATGTGTGGAATTACCATACATATGTTACTACTATATTAAACTTTGCTATCTTTTTTTTTCATATGTTATGTATGTGGATGTGTGAACCTAGGAAAAGGATGACTTCCTCTCATCTGTGATATCCCAATTTAGACTTTTTCTGCAACAAACACAGATAGTGTCAACAGAATATAATATGTGTAAATTATTACATTGCCTGCATTTGTTAATAAAGAGAAACTAAAACGGTTTACTTTTTCTAATGGTACAATATTGTTAAATGACATGCTATGATAAAGTTGTTAGTTGTCTTATAAAAAATTCGACATTCTTTCACAATCAATTATAAGTTGACTATTCTAAAAAAAAGTCAAGAATATCAATCATCTCTAAACTGATTTAGTCACATGAAGTCCATGTAAATAGTAATTATGCACTTGCAAACAGAGTTAATTTCACACAGTTGTCAATCATCTATCACGCAAGACTATAAACTTACAAGTTCTTGTAACTATTGCCTTTCAGCTGTAATGAAACATTTTCTTGTAGTAAATTACTTAATATGAGGAACTAAATTTGTTTAAATGGAATGTGTATAAAAATTAATTCCAAAAAAGTTGAAAGAAACTTCATTGTTTCTCTAACATTACACATAAGGTATATATGCACCTTAATAATAAATAGACCTCGATTAAAAATTATATATGAAAATCAACTAGGTATTGTAAAACTGTTTTTGATTATACTTACTAATTGGTTTACCATCTTTCCATGCAGTAAATTTCACGTTTGCGTCATCGCGTTTTGCAGCTTCTGCCCTAATATCAGATTTCAGGGCTTGCCTAACAAGCCTCGCAGCAATTTGCGAATAATTGATGTAACTACAATAAAAATTTAATAAGAAATACTCATAGAAGTTACATAACATACTTCTAATAACATTAACATTAATATTTTCTAACAGTAAATGCATTCCAGCAGAATTCTCTTACTTTAATCCTGCTTGTCTCCACGCAGCCATATCTAAGTTTCGTTTTAATTTGAAATAGAGAAAATTTTAATTTATCTTTACCAGAATGTGCTGATAAGACAACCAACTCACTTTGAGTTGCTTTGAGACGAAATGTCTGAAGTCTGAAGGTTTGACGCAATGAAATTGTCTACTACATAGAATAAAGATTTTTGTAGAAACGAAACTCCAGCGAAAGCTTGTGTCCATTGCACGCATATGCATTGGACAACCGTCATTTCGTATCGCCTCTGTCAGAATCTCCTAAGTCTATGGATTAAAACATTTCAAACATAGACGCTTAAAATACAAGATGAACAACTCAATCACTGATCACAAAATTTGTTTTTAATTTCATAGACAATGTCGCTTGATTTGTTTCAGATTCGGGCGAGTACGCGCAAAAGGTATGAACTGGGAAACGATTTTCGATTGGTTGAATGCAACAGCACCGTATGTCCAACCAGTTAGCATACCGTATTTCTATTTAACTCGACCAATCAGAAGATCGTATTAAACGAACTGCTCTCGGTGCGCTCATGTGAGTACAGAACGAATCAAACGAATCGAGACCACGCAGCGTAAATTCATAATGGATATCTAGCAGCTGATTACTGACTTCTAGGAAGTTTTTCACAAGATGTCGGGGGGTATTTTGCGTGACAAGCCGCTGGTATGCTTTCGGACGATATGACTTGCTCGTTGTGGTGCATGTCTGCAAAATTCCGGCCTACGTTAAATCCTAGAGTGTTGTAACATTGCTGACGTGAAGATTCATAAATTTCGAACCAGCCTTCTGAACGTAAAAACTGAGAAGAACCAGGAGACTGTCTCTGCAAGAATTGTGTCAGTGCGTGTATTACTGCCAACTCCAATATTTGGAATACTAATTTCTCTTCTGATTACCAGGCAGAATTTTCCTATTACGCGAGAACTCGGTTCTATTGAAACAAACTATTACACTATTTCATATTGGGATGGGAGCTAAACCAAGCACTGTAACACAATCCGCTGGAGGCAATGGGCAATCCTCTACTGGAGAGAACGAGACAACTATGCAGAGTTATTCTGTGCTCCGCTCTCTACCTGGAGGTGTTACCATGTTGCAACATCAACATCAGCAAGGCAATCAATCTCAGACTTCTCGAGTATCTGGGGATAGTAGGCAACGTGCTCGTTCATTGAGTTCAGTGCCAGACCTTTCTTCCGGAGAACAAAGTAGTCTTGCTTCCTCTGTTGGTGTTGGAGTTGGCCAAGCGCTTGGTCTACCACAACTTGATTCAGATGATGCCGATGAAGATGGTGGACGCGTCTATGCTGCCCATAGCTTGCCTTCTCATATTTGGTCCCTCAACGGTGAGTTTAATGGTTCAAAGTTACCATGGAATTTAAACTGGTTTACATATCCTTGTATAATTTAAGTTATACTCAAGAAACATTATATTCTGTTATGTTTATAAACATATGTTTTATACATATATATATACATAGATAAGTATGCAACTTATGTACAAAGGCACACACACACACACACACACACATAAGTATGAAAATATAAGATATATATATATGCCGCGCGCGCGCTACATGTGCATACACACGTACGAAGTATAAAAATTTACAACATATACATATTGATTTTTAATATAGTAATATCAAAGATTTTATTATTGATTACATAACAGAGTTGAACACGTATATATGTACATGTTGGTGCGTGCGTGTGTATGTATACATACGTGTGTTTTGCTGCATATATATAGATATCATACTAAGATGAAACGTCATTTTCAGTATTTTAAATAGAAAAAAGATAGTTCATTTGAATGTTTATCTACATAGCTTGTTCTTCATCTATTTTATTGTTATTGTTGCAATAATTACTGAATCCTTCTAAACTGATCAAGTTCATAGAACAAGTTGACGCGTAAAAGTGCTTTACGACTCACGTACATAATCGGATTTAGAATGACAAAAAGTTAGGTTATGTTTTGATCACGTTTTATTGAAAAGCTTTAAATTAATTGCGAGCAAAAGGCGGCGGACATTTGTTTGGCGCATGTTGTCTGCTAGTTGTCCCGGTAACCACATGTAAATCAATCGTGATCAAACGTAGTTGCGTAAATTTTAAATCACGATCGTGAAAAGTATAAATTTAAAATAATGACGTTTTAAGATCTAAACAAAATTTTACTATTTGGGATGGAAGGGGTCAAGTTACGCCGATTTTATTATGGGAATTATAATAAGTTCTTGCTTAAATGAGTCTGAGACTGAAGTTGTTCCAACTAATCAAGTGAGAAGAATTCTTTATGGTACAGTTCCTACTAATTTTATGATTTATCACTTCTGACCATGCTGGAAGTTCGTATCCATGAATAATATTATTTACTTTAAAGGTCTACAGTGTCCTGTATGCTCCAAATTTATTCTACCGGATGATATAGAATGTCACCTGGTCATGTGCCTGACCAAACCACGTCTTAGTTACAATGGTAAGTTCGTATTTTTATGATTGCAATGTTCAAATTTATTCTTTTATGTTTGCAATGTCACATGTAAAGAAGGAAATTAACATATTGCTTTTTGCATTGTATTGTATTGTAGAAGATGTATTGTCCGATGAGAAAGGCGAGTGTGTTATCTGTCTTGAAGATTTACAACCTGGTGATGTTATAGCCCGTTTACCATGCCTTTGTATATATCATAAAAAGTAAGTATGATTAAAATTTTAAACATCAATTTAGACTGTATATATTGCATGTATTATTGTACCTACTACTTTCTCTATTATCTTTAAAAACACATAGTAACATTTTCACTGAAGCTCATAGCTATACAGAAATGTATGTCTGTAGGCAGAAATGTCTCCTCCTTCAGTTTTGTGAAGTTTTATTAAAATTCTGGCAAGTAGCACAAATTCTATGTTCTAATGTTCATAAGTAGGTCTATTGCAAAGTCATACAATATTGTTCTAGGATTAATGATGCAATTCTGTGTGTAATTTAAAATCAATCAAATATAATTGGTATATTTCAGCTGCATTGATAAATGGTTTCAAGTGAATCGTAGTTGCCCGGAGCATCCTGGGGATTGATTTATACCCATTGAATATGGAAGAGCACAATGCAACATGTTGCTGGCCCAGAAGACTCTCATTTTGATGGGAATAAAATGGGAGGAAACAGCAAAGATTTGAAAAAAGCTAGTCAAGATGGCTGCTAGTCCACTGTGGTGGTTGGTGCGTGTGTTTGTTCGACTGAATGACACATACTCAATTTGAATATGAGAACAGACATTTAATTAAATCCTTGATTATATTACTTGTAAGCAGGGGACTTAAAAATCGCCATAAGATTCAACGACACAATGCTATTACTTATACGTATCTGTAATTAATCTATTAGTGCTCTATAAGCTTATTATCAATTGTACCATATTTATAAATTTTACTTAGTTCTACATCTTGAAGTCGAATTAGAGTTAAGCAAGATGATCTGCATTGTTATTGGTTATTTCACCTTTTTTGGAAAAGGGGGTAGAATGAATGTTAGTCGAAGGGCCTGTATAATAATTAGGCAACATCTATTTTAAACGAGTTAATTATATTTTTAATGATTTAATTATGAATCTAATGTTTCATTTTTGTTGTCTGTTGGGGAATGAATACAAGAAAGGATATTTTTGATACTTTCATAAAAGGAAGAGTCGGATATATAAAAGTTTTATGAAATGGACTTTTAATAGTAATGCTGTTGAAGCTGTAACAACAATAAAAGTGTACATTTGAATTTCCTTATTAGAATTTCAAGTTTGTGATAAATTTCTTTTACTTTTTTAGAGAAAAAAAATCGACGTTCTCCAATCATGGAATGTAAACTTGCTATTAGTTGGAAATTAGTTATTTTATAATTAATATCTTTTTTATATGGTAAGCATTAACATAACTCATGGTAGTTTTTGTAACAGAAATAAACGTGGTCTGTCAATTCTCCAGTAATATACGCGTTGTATATATCTGAATTAGACTTGTATTACAGATCGTAACAAAAGTCTAATAAAGTGACAAAATTTCAAACCAAATACAACTGCAAAAATGAATCAAGCATTCAATATGTTAAATATAATAATACGATGAAATAAATACATAAATTCTGTATTAATAAAAATATTAAATTTACTACTGTTTTTAAAATTATGAATAGTGAGTGGTATTGTTATATTTTTGTTTACAAATCATTTTATTTAAGAACATAAAATTCCTATATAACTAATTAATGAAGGTTTTCTCCATTCAGACAGAAAGACTTTTTAATTAATGGTGTAGGTATCCACACGTGATGTTTTCGTTGCTGTGTGAAGTCGTTGATCATCGTGACTTGAGGAGCTAATTATTCACGGCATTTAATTAGGACCTGTAACAGATCGACCAGGAGTATAAACGGGATAATCGAGTGTAAGCAAAATAGAGTACCATAAAGTAGGCCATTGTTGCCGATGTAAGCGCACAGAATTAGTAACCATTAGTGGAAATAAAAATTTGTCTATGTTTCATTATATTATAAAGATGTGTTAGTTATTGTCTACGATCTAAACAAATTTATTACCGATATTTACTAAAGAGCGTACATTTAAATTTATCTCTCATAATGCAATTTATATAAACCCCTTATATTTTACTTTCACTTTATATTACATTTTGCAACCCTTGTTTATGTCTCCAGTATTACGCTTCATACAACAATGCGATTATCAAATCCAAGTTTTATTGCATTAAAAAAATCGCAAACCAAAAAGAATGTTACAATGCGTATGCGCGGATTGGAAGGTAGGAATGTTAAATTGGCCCATGGGATAGAAAGTTGGTTAAACATAGCCTTTTATCGACACGATCGTTTAGGATTCCATGAACAAAAATGTTCGTGGGTTGAGATGTTTCCCAAGCCGCCCTTCACATGCCCTTCATTCAGTATCTTTATCAAGGGCAACGTAGAGAACAAAAGGCGGGTAGTACTCTATAATTGTTACATCAAGATTCTCTTTAAATTACTTATACTGTTATTGTCATTTGCGTTAGTATATTTAGATTTATTCTGACATTTTCAATGAGCAAATAAACACAATATATAGAACAAATAAAGTACAT